ATCATCCCTCATTTAAAGCCGTGAGCCAGTGATGGGAATCCCACATTCCTGTGGTAGGGGTGAGTCCAACCGTACAACACAGCCACTGCCAACTTTCCCACAAAGTGGTACTTATTTTTAACCGACCCTGGAGGGATGATGGGGGCTGAGTCAACTCGAGCAGGATTTTTGAGCTCGCAGCCTTCGCTCTGCGAGCCGCTCGCTCTATTGCTAGAGCTGTGGGGGGAGGGGGGGAGGCAGTGGATACAAAAATGGAAAGGAGGCGATACTCATCTCGTCGTTAACATTATTCACAACGACGCGTAATGATTAATTTGTGTCGTGTGCTATGGCTCTGTTTGTTCGGTACAGGGCGGCCGGGCTCGCGAGGGTGGATCGGACATGAAGAGGGTAAATGAAAAAGCTTCGACCTGCTGGAAGCCCCCTGCGGTGTTAGCCTAACGGGGTCAGCCGTGCAGGAAGACCGGCCGTCTTTCTGACACACGCAACCGACATAACGGCAACACATCGTTAATGGCGCAAATGGCGCAACGGAAGTCACAGTCCGTCAAACCTGGAAGCACACAAGACCATCACAAATCAGCGCGCGCCGACATGACAACGGACAGCAACACTTTCAACGAGGCACAGCTGAGATTGGTCGGTGGTGGTGGTGGCCGTTTCATGTGCTTGTGTGCGTGTACGTGAGCATGCGCGCGTGTGTCTGCATGTGTGTGTTTGTGTTGTGCGCCAGTCAGCTTAAGTCAGAGTCGGTTAACTCTCAACAGCTGAGTCTGTCCCGGACCTCCTTACCAGCGGGCCTTGGACACTTTATGAAACAGCCTCAAAGTGCACCTAGCCTGACACAGGTGCTGTTGCGATGTCACTGTCGCTCTGTGATGATTGGCGGCTGTTGATGTGTGTATGGGGAGCGGTAGCTTGGTGGTTATTGCACTGCGCTACGATCCTGGAAAACTGAGTTCGATCCCCGACCGTGGCTAACGTCAGTGGCAATTTACCCGAACCGATCACGGGCCTCTTCCCTGCCCCCCCCCGCCCCCCACAAAATAGGTCAACTCAGCCTAAAACGAGTATCTAATGCGGTGTGTAAAGACCGGCACTGGGCAGACAAGAGAGGTGGCCAAGCGCGTGGTGCTTGCCCAAGTAAGCTACACGGGGGATCTTTCGTCTGTCGCAGCCTGTGCGTGTTAGAGCGTTTGGGCATCCTGCGATCGATGTGGCACAACACGGCGCTGTGATGCACAGTGTTGTCTGGGGACGTTGCCAGGTCACGTCCTTCTACTTGAGAGCGTGCAATGGGCACTTTCCAAGTCGCTGTGGTTTGTTTAACAAAGTGAGAGCTCCCTGTGGTTCGTTATCTCCTTTGCAAGAGAACCCCAATTTATTCAGATATTATTATTGCCAATGACAAGAAAAAAAAGAGGTAAATGATGTACTAAAATAATTACACATCAATTCAGAGTTAAGCTCTAGAAGACATACTGATGAAATGACACCGTTGTGTTTGTTGTTGTCGTTGTTATTATTATCATGTCAGCATTTCAGTGGGGCACTCGGACCACGGTTTTCAATTTCACGGACCAAGAAACAGGTGGCACTGAAATACATGGGGCTGGCCGAGCTGTCAACACAACGTCTGTTTGCTTTGCAAGCATCTCGATGACTGTGGAACGAGATGATGGGTGCAAACTCTGCCCGGGCAATGGAGAATTTCCTGCTCCAACATCGCTGCTCCGATGGTAAAGATTGCATCCAACGGCACACGACAATATAAGATGATCTCTTAATGAAGTGTCCACATGTGAACATCTATTCGGAAAAAGATTCATATTTAAAGATTTTTAATGTTTGGAGTTTTGTGAGATTTGAGATTTTCATATCATTAATACTGCATGCTGATGTCATTGTATCCGAATGTTGTGTGTAAATGTCTTATGTCATAATGGCATCTAAACAAAGATTTAAAGTACTACCACAATACGTCACTCGACAGTATCGACTCTGTGGTAATATTTGCGAAAGTAGGCCACTACGTGTAGGATGTGTATAAAAATCGCCCAAATTTACCTTGCTTTCACAAAACTTCAGTAATAACAATGACTGCCTTGCAAAGGAGAATTCGTTAACACATCAACAGGCTCTCACTGGGCAATAAATTAAATGTGGAGTTGTAGTAACAGGCAACGAGAAAAGACCAAAGCAACACAGCTGGTCTTACCGCGACTTCCGATTTCAAGGTCATTTGCAGGTTGTCAATTCACAATCCGTGACCACTTTTACACTGGGCACATCAGAGCCGTTCCACGTCCGTCCTGAGCCAGGCCAGCCTCCTGAGCCGGGCCTGGCTCACGAGGCGCCAAGTTGTTTATCCACGGTGGAACACGAGCCATGCCACCATCGGTCATGCTCATGACGAAAATGATTCACCCCATCTCTGACCCAGCACGGCCCATAGCCAGATTCAGAGATGACTTTGTGAAGCCAGAGTTTCACGCTTTGGGATTGGCTCAGCTTGGCAAACAGCCAGTGGAAACCCACCTGCAAATGAGAGAGACCCGTGCTAGCGCGGCTCGGATATGCCAGTGGAGAAGTGTTGCCAAATTAGTAAGTCAGCACAAGCTAAATATCCAGGTCCTATAATTTGTGACACATGGCAATGTTCGTGTTCCTAAGTGCGTGTATGTTTTATTGTTGTTGTTATCTGGAACTGCTGAAAGCAATGAAGGGTTACTTTTAATATTTTAACTGCACAGCCAATTTGAACAATGGGAGAATAGGTGGGAAAGTGAATACAGAATGTGAGTTCACAATGTGCTTTAACATAAAGATAACCCATCAATGAATGACATGCATAAGGTGGAAAACACACCAAACAAAACAACCCTGCCAACAGCATAAGAGATGGTAAGTCCCTCATAACTTTGCATGGCACCAACTCAGAAGGGTACCATCTCCTCGGCTCTCAGAGGGGTGGCATTGCATGTACTGGTGTTTGCAAGTGGTCAACAATTTTCTTTTGGCATGTGGCAGCAACCACCATTTATGATCCAGCCCAAAGCAAATTCGCTGAATCAGACAATTCAGTGGGAATCAGAGAGCCTATTCCCTTGAAAGCGTGGCTGCTTCTGCATTCGACAAACTCGCTTGTAAGGCCAACAGAACGATGGGTCCCGAATCCAGTTAACATGTTATTACATGGAGGTTTGTGCTTTCCGATAAAACACGAAGCCACTTTGTGATTAGAACTTTCAATTCCAGGAGACTAGGTTTTTGGCTATGGTATAGGTGTATTACTTCAGAGATGAATAAAATCTATACTGTCTTGTAGGAAATCAGCCGTCGTTGCCTTTGAGAAAGATGGCCCTCTGCCAAAGGGGTGTGATCTTTCCAACATTGGCTCAAAGAGCCACCAATGGACATGAGCACTGCCCTATGCCCAATTGAGAAGGGAGACAGTGACTTTTATGGGTGCACTAAGGGAGACTTGTTGTGGCTCCATCCCAGACTATCAGAAACATACCATTTAATACATCAGTGAATCATGGCAAGTGCAGTAATGTGTCTCAAGTTCACCGCGATGGGAGCCAAACAGAATCCGAGTTCTTCAGTGTAATAAAGCTTGAATGACGTTAACCGTCTACACTGCACGTTGGGAAAGGGGATGGGATGAAGGCTTTTCTACATTGTGTTAAGTCATGGTGGTTGTTTGATCATACTTCACCACACTAGTTAGTGCTGGTTGGTGCAGGAGCGTAACCGGGACCAATTCAGAGACCGCTTGACACTGATCTTAACCCTGATGCGGAATCTGATCCGGTGCACTTGGATGGATCGTTATATTTCGGATACCCTTTTGAAAAACATTTTATCAAAATTTCTGGGTCATCAACTGCTGAAGCACAAAAGTCTTCCACAGACATTAATATTATAAATAAAGGAAACCCATGTTCATTCGCAAAAGTGACCCAAAACCCCAGTCTCCTGTTACAAAAGTATGAGCCAATATTCCTGGAAAGCGTGGCTTCGAATTTCCAGGGCTTCGCTTCTATAAATAATAAGGCCATATATCTGAAGTGATCTGGGCTAACAAGTGAGGCTTGTGCTCTCTGCTGCGAGTATGTTGTAACTGCAGGAACATTTCCATATCTGGCAATGGCCACTGACTGAGGATTTACAGAATCCATTGTGTATATCGAAAGTCTCACAGCATTTTACCCAACACCAAATCAAAACAAATATTCACGGTCGGAGGACTGAAATCTGATCAATGATTTTGCCAGGGCTGGAATATTTTTTTTTTTTAAATCATGACCCAACAGCATAGGCCACCAAAACCACATGAACAAAATAATGGGCAGTTCAGTGAAGTCTGTCCACGTCTTGTGAACAAGGTCAATGGGTTGCATTATGGCCACGTTCATTGCTTTTCAGCGATATGCGCGTATTGTGCTGTGTAGAGAGGATGCATTGTGGGGCCAAAACTATTCTTTGGAATACTTCGGAAACTTGTTGGTACAAACAGAGGACCATCGAATAATAGACACAAATTTGATATACATTTCGGCTGTAGGACATCGTGGGAAGATCCACGATAACTTGAAACCCGATTGGCACATACATGCACGACAGCCGGGTTTTCATTTGCTCTCTTACCACAAGAGTTAGAGAAATGTTCCACGATTTTCTATTTTTTTTTTAAGCCAAGATTCTAAAAAACCCGGTGTATTACATGCATAAACACCAACGCAGAGGGCCAGCAATGGATTTGCAGCTCTTCCCTCGAGTCCTTGCAAGCCAAACCTTAATCTTCATGTATATTATTCGACCTGGCACAAAGCACATCTATTTATCTGTGCGTTGGGGGCATTTTCATTGTTGACTAAGACTGCTGGATCTGTCCAGAGCGCTACTATGTGTTTGGATGTATCAGGGTATGGGGGGTGGGGGAGTTTAGCCGGAATGGCGGTGGTGTGGTAGGTGACCGCGTTTGAGCGACTCACTTTGGTGTTCATGTTTTGCGAGAACTCCAGAATTGTGTCCACGCGGGTCCAGGCGTCAGGGTGCTCCTTCAGATGGGTGAGCACCTCCTGCGCCATCCTTTGCTGCAAGGTGAGGAGGAGGAGAAGAGTTACACTGGGACTTTTTTTGTCAGGAGGGTCCTGCACTGGGATATTTGGACAATTCTATTAATGATCGTTTGTATGTACGTAGGCATGTTGAACTTCTTTCACGCTGTACGTAGCCAACCATGCTAATTGGCATGTGACAATAAACTACACAACCCAGAGAGAATCCACACATACGAGGGAGTGACACAAGACATTGCCCTCTCCTGGCTACCATATGGTAATATGCCTACACCACCATGATGCAGTACATCTCGCGGCACGAGTGGCATGGATTTGAATCTCACAAAGCAGTGCAATCCTTCGCATTAGAGAATGGCCCACAGAAGCAGATATCACGGAACTATTTCTAAATTTAACTCAAGTAATGTTTATTGCATGAGTTAAATCTATATTTTGAATTTTCAGTGATTGATGTTATGGGTTTATTTAATATTGGTGACCAGACTGAGATCATCATCTCGCTCCACTTGGAAACCTTGAATTCATCGCAGGACGTTGCCTGAATTCAAACCCAAGCAGTGCTGGCCAAGCGCTTTGAACCTCACCTGGCCACCTCCCTCTCACAGCACGTTACACGCTTCAAGGTCACGTTTGGTTTTTGAGACGCAGGGGAAACTTTCTACCAGACGCAAATGCAACCTAATGCTCGGAAGGTGTCACTGTGTTTAGACAACGCTGCTGCTGCTGCGCTCTCTGCCGCTGCATCCTCCTGCACGACGCCGCGGTGCTGGCGACTCACCTGCGGGCCCTCGCCCTGGTACAGCCAGCTCACCACGCTGTCCAGGAGGTTGATGTCGAGCCGCTGGCTGAAGTCGAGCAGCTGACGTGCTGTGTGGTCTCCCAACATGGTCATTATGGCCGGCATGAAGCTCGTCTACTGCATTGACAGAGAGCGCACAGAGAATCAGTACGTAAATTCAAAATATTTTTCATTCGAAACTATTTTTTTTTTATCTTACCAGGTAAGGCCCACTGAGCTTCATAGCTCTTTTTCAGAAGCAACCTGGCCATAAATGATAGCTGAACTAAGTGGCTTATCACGTGGAAATGTATTGCAGCCAAATACTCTAAACGCATGTCGATTCTAAATGTGGAGGGAAAAACCGGAGGACCCAGAGAAAAATCCACGCGACCACGGGGAGACCCTGCTAACTCCACATATACAGGAAGACCTGTATGTTGAATTTCTTTTGAACTGGACGTAGCCAACCATGCTAATCGGAGGTGCAACAGCCTAGGAAAGGCCAAGGCCCTGTTAAGATATTCGTCACTGATGTTGACCATGACAGAGAATGAAACTTGGGTCGTCGAGATGGTATTGCTGCACTGATAACCAATATACAAATGCCACCGCACAGCAAATGCACTTGTGTATAAAGACAAAGATCCCCGATACAGCCTTTAACAGACTGTTAGGGCAAGTGCTGTGAGCGAGCACTTGTGAAGGCCGGCACAGAACACAATGGGTTTAGTGGTCAGCACCACACCCGGACGCCTTTGTCTCCCCAGTGGTGATGGTTACACACCACACCAGGTACTCATTTAAGGCTGAGTCGACCTCGGGGAGGCTCAGGAACAGTTCGAACAATCGTCAGCAGTGTTGGCCATGAGCGGGAATCAAACTTGGGTTCCCGGGTTCGTAGCGCAGCGCGCTAACCGCTACACTACCGCTCCCCACATGCACTTGTGTACACGCACACACACGGGGGTGGGGGGTCATGGGTGGAGCAGTGAGGAGCGCTATTTTTGGCACCATGTTTATTGTTGCCAAGCCCATCAGGCTCCGTTGTAGACAGGAGGTACCATTTCCACCAACGTGCTTGTTGTGTGCACACAATGCGCCAACGTCCCAACCATCCGGAAGAATGACAATACAAACTGGTCAGGCCAAACCACAAGGGTGAGCCTCCCCTGGTAAATGGGGCAATTTAGTACAAATGTAACTCATCTTCTTGGTTCTTTCGGTAAAGTCACGTAGAAGGGAAATAATAACAGAATAAAAATAAAACATAATAAAATACAATTCTCACGACGTTTCGGCCACAATGCAAGCAGCCGTCCTCAGGTGAAGAACAGGTCTGTCGGAAAGACAGCGTCTATGTGACTTTACCGAAAGAACCAAGAAGATGAATCCCTGCAGCCACGAAAGCTTTAAATCGAAATATAAATGTAACGTTTCGAATTCGATGGGCATCCCCAAAACTCCCTCGTTCACCGATGGCGGCACAAAGGCAGTATTTTTGGTGAAAAAACATTTAAAAAATGAGATAATAAAGCGACTTTCCTCTTCTTGCCTCTCTTCACTGGAACAAACTTCCGCTTCCTATTAAGCAGTCACCTTCACTCACTAGTTTCCGCTCCTCACTAAAAACTCAACTTATTTTCCCTAGCTCACCCCACGACCACTTAATCTCCCCCTCATAACCGCTACCGTTACTTTTCCCTCTTCATATGCTCATTATAAGGCTATCATTTATTCCCCATTCATTCAATCCGTTCATCATCATTTACTATCAATTTCGCTTTCACCGAATTCACGCGTCACAGATGTGCCCCCATTGCTTCCCTCTCATCTAATTCAATCACCTCATCTCCCCCATTACATTCACACACGCTGTTGTTGTTGTTGTACCGTTGTTAATTCTTCGTAAAGTGCATTAATCAAATTACGTTAAGATAAGATAATATAAAAAATAAACCTTTTTAGAAACGAGTTCTGCATTACCGGAGAGCATTGTTTAATGCAAAGTAAACGCTGCTGGTATTATAAACAAGCAAAGCACATCCACGGTGCTGATATCAAAAAAAGTGAAAGTTCATTAAGACATTAGCAATAACTGTAATTAGCTGCTGTTAAGATTACTTTAATGTTGATATATTTTGCTCAAGACCGCCTCTTCCCTGAATGCCAGCAGCACCACTGGATGGTCACCTGCTGGCATTAACAACACTGAAACACTCAGGTAAAAAGTGCATACAACCTTGACAAAAAAAAACCGCTGGCTTAAAATCAACATGAGTAAAAAAAAAAGAGATCTCACTTCTGAGCTATGCAAAGGATTGAGCCAAAACTTGCACACGTGAAATAACAAAACACGTGCACGTGATTTTTGTGTGCGTGGTCATTGGTGACTGGGCTACGAGGCCCTTTGAGCTCAAAACTGCAGACAAGAACCTGTTATTGTTCTGGGTAGGAGCCTGGCATTTGATGCCAGAATCTCAGTAATGTTGGTGTGGTGCCCTCAACATGAGAATTAGGCACCCGGCGACCATGTCAGGACCTCTTTCCGTGCTCTATTTATGATTGCCCTCGTGACATACGGAACGGTGCCAGTGACATGATTATGATAAAATAAAAAATCTTTTTTTTTGGTCAATAGAAATCAACAGCGAACACTGTTTGTCAAAACATGGAAAACAAATATCGTATTTATTTCCCTTGAGCCAATATGAAACGTTTGTCGGTACTAAAGCAAAGCTAAAATTGTACTGAAATTTGACTCTCAACTCTTGAATTAAACTTTTTTTCATCTGTACACTGTACTGATTTTTCAAGTTAAATTCCCTCTCTGGGGTTAAATCAGCTCATAGTCAATCCAATCCACAACCAGTAAAAAAACGAGTACCCGAAACACACACAACGTGAAACAAATGTCTTGCTAACCCTGCATTCGCTAGAGGCGTGGACATGTGATCTCTCAGTGCACTGCGGCCCTTAGTAAGCTTAGTTGTGTTTTTTTGTGGTGGGGGGGGGGGGGACCAAGGGGTCCTTATTGAGGGGCTGCCATACCAAAGTTGACAACCACTGCTTTGTGCTCACAGCGAGCAGCTTGTACTTTTCCATACCAAGCCCACCCCTCCTCCCTCGGGAGTGGTTCTCCCTTCTGTCACTATTAATTATAATGAAGTCCTGGGCTGCCCGAGGGTGCGGGGAGGGAGAGCAGTGCGGTGAGAGAAGGGAGGGGGGGTACCGTATGAGGACTGATCCTGAAAGTAAAGTTCCTTTACCAGGGGCGCACACGTCAGTGCTTCAAAACGTGCAGCACATTAAGATGAGAGCGACAGGGCACCTCTCAAGGCTGAAACCATTTCTAGTAACACCCAACCCCTCTGCCGTTGAGTTATGGAGACCATATGACACATCAGACTCAATTACATTGTGGTAATGAGACACAGAACCAGCATGTGCGACACTGTTACACAAAATTGCATTCGTGAGTTTAATGTTTGCCATCGCTCCCAAATCAATTCACTGCTAGATGAAGTTGACGTTCTGCTTAGTTGCAACCCAGCTCGCTGCGTGAAATCCCATTCTGTCACCTCCGTGTTACAACCTGCTTCGTTGCCTCTCATGAGACATTTCTATGATAAGTTTGTCCATCGGGGTGTCACTACATTCAACACAGTTAGTACAATGCCTATCTGCTCTTTTTATTACCAGCTGATGGCTCAAACAAATCACATCGTGAACAGCTACTCGGTGGATTATTATCACATCGCAGTAACTGGAGGTGGTGGTGGCTTGGCCAGGTTTTAATCCAGCAGTGGATTGACCATGGCTGATGATGGTGGTTCAAATACTTAGAACTTTGTTCCTTCACCACGGGTGTGACTTGGATGCCTAAGTGTGGGTACTTCCACGAATTGCAAAACTATATAAAACTGAAACTCGCATTACATTCCAAAGGGTGCTTTTATGACTTTGAAACAAACTTTTTAAATTGCTCGTTATTTTGCATTTCCCTTTTGGGTTACCAACAAACCCACATTTACAGCATGGCGAATTATGGGCAACCCCCCATTATGATTAACACAGCGTGGGGAAGAAGCCTTCATCTCGCAATGGATTGTTAAGAGGACTTTACATTATTTTGTTCCTATCAATAGTGTGTACAAGAATAATACTCTTGGCCCAGAGTTCAAAAGGAGAGCCCTATAAGGTACTACACGTGAAATTTCATTGCTGGCGACAATTTTTAATGTTGTTGACAAGTTACGTTGCGTAACTATTGACTGAGGGTGGAATTTTGTTTTTAATATAAAGCAACAGCTGGTTTTACCTGGTTATGCGGGGCTATACGAGGTCACTCACGTCAACTGAAAAGCAGGAAAAAGCAACAACCTGAGTGGCAATGGCATTTGCGACTCAGGCTAATGTGTTTTATCGCTATTGTTTTTAAATAACGATGTCACGAAGAGCATTTTTTGGCAGTACATCACTGTAAACAAGCAGTTCTAAAAGAGAGCCCACGTTACTGTTTTGATTTGCCAAGTAAATGCTTCGGAGAATAACATATTAATAAAACATATTTCTTAAGAACCGCGTGAGGGAAAGCATCAACAAAAACGGCAGAGGTCACATTGAGGGGAAAATTAAATGAACAGGACAGCAGCAGCCAGTCACAGCACACCGGTGTACGAAATGTTTGGCAGGGCAGACATCAGTTAACTTGGCACTGAGCCGGTCAACTTGGAAGTCACAGTTCAATCCCCATGCCAGTTTATGGATAGTTGCGACGAAAGTGTACCACATTCCAATGCTGAGAAGTGAACATTTAGACCCTGTGACATCATTCTAAAGTGTGGGTTCATTGAGTGTTCCTTGCCAGAATTGCAAAATGTCTCCGAGTTCCTGTAAGTATTGCAAGCACTCTATAGGACACTAATTTCAATGTATGATCACCTGGGTAAAGGATAGTGTTTAAAAAAACCACAAACACTTGTGATCAATTCGATTTCCATATAAATGTAAGGCTTTTTTAGGATACATTATAGGGCTTCATATAAGTTATCTGTGCCAAAGATCCATGGTATAAAGCTCACTCAAAGTTCCCTTCTACCCACCCGCCACCATATCCACCCACCCCCGTAATACAT